GGACACGAGGCAGTGTGCCAGCAAGGACGTTGGGTCCCAAAGGGGGTGGATTGGGGGGTCCCACATCGATTGGAGAAAGGAACGAGTGCTAGTAGGGACGCTGGACCACGAAGGGAGGTGGATTGTGAGATCTCACATCAGTTAGGGAGGAGAACGAAGCATTCTTTAAAAGGTTGTGGAAACATCTCCCTAGCAGACACGTTTTAAAACCTTGAGGGAAAATCTGGAAGGGAAAGCCCAAAGAAGACAATATCTGTTAGCGGTGGACTTGGGCTGTTAATAGTGGATTGAGTGGAACTTTCACTCTGTTGGTCATGAATTATTTTGTTTCTGTACCATCTACCTATCGAGAGTGTGAACTATTAGTATTTGAAGTCTCTTACCTTTCTTCAATCTCCGAAGTTCGCATTATGTTTAATTGATCGATTCATATGTTGATATGCAGATCATAAAGAATGAAGATCTTGAAGAACTGCAAGAATTAGGATCTGGGACGTTTGGCACAGTTTTTCATGGAAAATGGAGGGGAACGGATGTCGCTATTAAGAGAATAAAAAAGAGTTGCTTCTCAGGAAGTTTTTCTGAGCAAGAAAGACTGGTGGGTTTCACATAACTTCGAAAATTTCTTTTTAAATGTATAACCAATTCCAGTGTTCAAGGGCTTCTTAAGATATTAGTTATGAAAATTATCACAGAAAGTTACAAAATTTTGCCTGCAGTTTCAAAGAAAAAGCTGCACCTTTTTATTTTCTCAAATGCATTTCAATAATGATTAGGCCTATGAACATGCTTCCTACAATCTAATTCCTCCAACTTTTCACAAATGGGACCAAAATCTCACTGTTTGCTTAGACTAGAGATTTCTGGAGAGAAGCAAGGATTCTATCGACTCTTCACCATCCGAACGTGTTGGCTTTTTATGGAGTGGTTCCTGATGGACCTGATGGAACGTTGGCAACTGTAACGGAGTATATGGTAAACGGGTCATTAAGGCATGTTCTTTTAAGAAAGGATAGGTAAATTTTTCTAACTTCACTTTTTTTTTTCCTCTTCTTTCTTGTGAAAAGGGATTCAAACCTTTAGCATTCTCTGTGCAGAGTGCTTGATCGTCGGAAAAGGCTTATGATTGCAATGGATGCAGCTTTTGGCATGGAATATTTGCATTTGAAAAACATTGTTCATTTTGATCTGAAGTGTGATAATTTGTTGGTCAACTTGAGGGATCCTGAACGACCCATATGCAAGGTAATTGTCAACACAGCTAACATCTCACGCCCGACAATGTTTCCAATATCATATTATTTGAGATGCTGTTGAGGATAATTAAGGCCGGTTGATAGTCATTTTGTTTTTTTTATGATTACGCTACTTTACTCACAGAGTTTTAAGCCAAATTTTAGAAGCAAGATCAAGTTTTTAAGAACTTTGTTTCCCATTTTAAGATTTTGCTTAGTTTTTTAACACATTTTAAAAACAAAAAACAAAATTGATTATCAACAGGGAGGCATGCGAACGAGTAAGATGGAAAATTTTCGACCCTGTTTATAAGCTTAGGTTTTAAAACTTTCTGAAAGAGTTCTTTTTAGTTTCCTTTGACCAGTTGAAATTCATATTTAATATCTGAGCCACACTGAGCTCGTTTGTGGGTCATTTGATGTCTTTCAGGTTGGAGATTTTGGGTTGTCGAGAATTAAGCGCAACACACTTGTTTCTGGAGGTGTGCGTGGAACTCTTCCATGGATGGCACCAGAATTGTTAGATAGTGGCAGTTCTAAGGTCTCTGAGAAGGTAGGTAACTTAAAATCGAAGAGCTTTTACGTTTTTTCAATCCAACCAAGTCATGTAAGCATTGCGTTACGTAGGTTTAGATCAAAAGATGATAATATCCCACACTATCAGAACTGTTCATCATTTTTCTTTCTAATAGGTTGATGTTTTCTCATTCGGTATTGCAATGTGGGAGATTTTGACTGGCGAGGAGCCATATGCCAACATGCATTGTGGTGCCATCATTGGTAACTTTCTCTCCTAGGCCCCTTTTTTTAATGCCTTCTCAAAAGAGTAATACTCCACATGAAAATTTCTTTCATCCTTCTTTACTCCTTGTCTCTTCTTGCTGTATACTTCAGATCATTTCGACCCCACTTGATTAACCATTGCAAAATTTTGTCATCGGTCGATATATACTGATCTTATTTGTCACATCCACGTCATTTTAGTGAGAATGATTTGTTTATAAGTGTTTTATTAAGTGTGGTTTTTGTATAATCATTAATCTTACCCATTTTAACAAAATTTTAATATTATTAACAAAAATGCTATTAAGCATTTTAAACCATGTCTTATTTCTTTAACAATCATCTCTAGTTGTGTTGTTCAAATTGTTTTATAATTTGGTGGGCAGGTGGAATTGTAAGTAATACTCTTAGACCACCGATCCCTAAACGCTGCGATACCGAATGGAAAAAGCTAATGGAAGACTGTTGGTCACCAGAACCTGCAGCGAGGCCATCGTTCACCGAGATAACGAATAGACTTCGCAGCATGTCGGTAGCGCTCCAGATCAGAAAGAGGCCAAATGTAGGTAGTAGATGAAACATGTAAGTCACCATTCTTGTGAATTGGAAAAGGAGAAAAGAAAGAAAGAACTCAAGCTTGAGCTTAAGCTATTGTATGTAATTAATTAACTGGCTTGCTCAATCAGCTGAAACAAGCCAAAGATCTAACTTTTATGAAGCTGATATTCAAAAATCTGTAGATATTGTTAACTTTAATGCTAAAATTTCTTACTGCTGCATAATTGCATAATTTAAAACCGATATTATCCTTATTTCAAGGATAATCTAATTAATAGTGATTGTTATCGAGACAATCGTATTACTTCAGTAGATACGCTATTCAATACTTGAACCCGCTTGGATCACATCTAAACAAATTAAAGCGGGACGAAGGACAATGACATGAAATGGACGACGCGACAGAAAAATATAGGTACATATATTTTCAGACAAACCCGTTACATTAAAACCCACAAAAACACGCATGAGTTCAGGAAAAGTATCCCACGAAGAGAGCTGGCTAAATGGGGATGAGGCATGGATTATATTTTTCATCTCTTCTCTACCTTATTCGAATTCGAATTTATTATTATAATAATAAATATTTTAATGACTAAATTTATTATTCAAGTGAATGAATTAAAAAAAGTGAATAGAATTTGAAGACGAAAAGTTCATCACTAAATTCAATTTTATCCTATTTAAAGATGGAAAAAAGAACGGTACAACCTGAAGCTGACTAAGCTTTACAATAAGCTGATGTGGCAAGTTTCAGCCTTACTGTAAGCTGACATGGCAAAATGACTAGGTAAAAAAGAAAGCTGACATGGCATTCAAAAAAGGAAAACATAATTCTCCCCCTCCCGTCGCCGTCGCCGGTACCTCTCCCTCCCTTCACTCGCCGTCAACTCCGCCGTCCGGCGCAGATCGTACGCTCAAAAACTTAACAGATGAGAAGCTTTGAACCTGCTGGAGGTTTTGGGGCGGCGGCGGCGGCGGCCATGGCGGTCTGGAACTCGAGCCGCTTCGATTCGTAAACCCTAGAAGCTTCCTCAGCAGTATTGTAAGTTCCGAGCCAAATACGAGCTCTCTTGAAGGGATCTCGAATTTCAGCAGCCCATTTCCCCCATTTTCTCTGCCTCACGCCTCTGTATCGGCAGGCCGTTCCTCTGTTCGTGAAGGATTTGTCGCCATTGTTGCTGTCCTGAGAAGAGCTCCGAGAGATTTCATCATCGATCGATTTTGAAGCGCGAGAAGGAAAATTGGGGAAGTGAATTTCTCGCACGATGCGCTTCGATTTTGAAGATTTTGTTTCGTCTCTTTCGTTTTCGCTGGAAGATGAATCTGTTCCATCAGGATCGCTGCAGATTACGCGGATTTTTCTACTCATTTTGTGTTCTTCCAAAGGATTTCGACTCGATTTTTTTTTTCTCTTTTTGAATTTTCAATTACATTTTTGAATCGTTAGGTGTTTAATACGGGTGGTTCAGGCAATTTTGGAGGAGAATATTTCCTTTTAGATGCCGCATCAGTTTTTTTTTTTCTTTCTTTCTTTCTTTTTTTTTTTCTTTCTGACCAATGAGCTTTTTTCCATAATATTTCTCAACTTATTTATTTCATAAATTCTTTTTTTTTCTTTTAATTCATGGGGTAAGGTGTAACTTTTCCAAAATTATGATAGTTTTCGCTAAAATAATTTAATATGAGATTTAAGTTATATATAATAATAAAAAATCGAATTATTCTATTTATTGTCATGCGCAAATTAAAAATAAAAGTTATTTATTACCATCAATAGAATATCAAAAATGGTAGGAAAAGTATAATATATATATATAATTCGATAGTATTGAAAAGATATAAAACTTATAAAGAATCGAATATTAGTTATGATAAAATTATATTAAATTATAAATTTAATCTATAAAAAAATTGGGTAAAAGGGTAGGAAAAGTGAAAACAAATTGTATATAATTTGATTTTATGCAAATTTCTAAAATATAAAAAGAGTCAATCATTAGTTTCCACCTATAAAGCAAATAGAATATTACATTATAAATCAAGCTGATAAAAGAATATTCTTTTAATAAAAATACTATTTACCTAAAAGTTCGAAAATAAATTTTTTCAATAAATATAAATTATTCCTCGAAAATGCAACAAAGTTGAATTTAAATTTTTTTTCATTATAGTTTTAATTTAATTTCCCTTTAAATCCGAGGGGAAAAAAAAAGGCAATTTTTTTTTAATAAAATCAGCTAAAAAACACTAAAAAATAATTAGAAAATAATTGCATGAACCATATGTTATATCATAATAGAAATCTCATAAATTAAATTATAAGATTTTGAAATTTAAAGACAGAAAAAACTATTTATAAACTAAAAATTTAATTTAATAATTTTATTCCTAATAAAGATTGCTAGAGAGGTGAATGAAATGGTGAATTCAATTTTACCTGCAAAGTTTTCCTGTTAAATTTTGGGCATTCCAAGCCAATATATTAAGCTTTTCTTGCTGTATGGCAATGGGTTAGCATATAAATTATAAATAGGCTGCCATAGATACAAATTATGAATCTTCTCCGGTTGGTTGATGATTCATTCAAAACCATACCCACTCGTTCGAGCTGGAAACTTTGCTCTGTTCCCCAATGGAGAATTGCACCTTTGAAGTCTAACGATTCCGACTGCCCGAGATCAAGCGTTCTAATACGATGAGACGAAGAGAAAATTAGAGAAACTACACAGCACGAGAATCATTTAGAAAAGACCATTGTCATCCAGAAAAAAACATGTATACTAACTTTCTAACATCACATATAATATGTAGCATAAGGAAAACCTGAATTGGATCGGAGACGAATTCATCTCCATGATACGAAAATATCTGTTACATGATCTCCTAATCCAAAAGGTAGAGAGCAAAATGAAAATAATAAATCTGGTTTACCTTGGCTCCAAAAGAGAGTAAGAGAGCGTGCAGACTTGTAATACCCCGAAGTCGCCCTTAATATCAAGCGATTGACAACTTACAAACTGGGCACGACGTTCGCCTCTGTAGCCATGGATCGATACACTGAAACAACAAACAGAAAGAGAAGAGGTTAGTGGTTATGACTTGAAAAGGAGGACGGTACTTCTATGTTAAAGCATGCATACATCTTTATGAAATTTGTGTAAGCAAGGTAGATGGCGAATGACGTCTCCAATGGTCGGTGTATCAAGACAAATTGCACAAGCTTCTTCCATGCTGTCGGTCTGAGGAAGATGGGAAACAAATTGTCAGGAGGAGCAGATAAACTAGCAGATCTGGTGGTCGAGAGAATGAGTTTTGATCAAGGGAAAGGACAACTGAAAACTGGATGTAGAACCACCACCCACCTGAACAGTAGATTGAGGCAAACTATTAATCCGGTTCGTCGATGCACCAGCATGGCGGTGGTTGTTCTCGTCGAGGGATAGCAACATTTCGTAATCATTCCTACCAGAAATAATTATGAAAAAGAATGTCATAAATTTAAAACAACTGGTCAAAGAGAATAACTTGATTTCAAGAAGCTGAAAAGATAGATCACTTGATGAGTTTTCAGTCTCTAGCCAAACGTACTCTTTACTTAGATAAATATATATAACAAGTGCACAAAAGATCATGTCACAATAATTTGCAACAAATAGAAGTTGGGTTACAAATTGTTTTCGAATAGATTAAAAACTTACTCGTTAAAATCGCGCTGGATGTGCAAAATGCCCCTCCTATTCATTCTCACATCTTCCACGTCTCCAACTGCGGCCTCGAGCGCTTCCAATATATCAAGTCTCTGTATTAAAAGCAAGTTACCAGCTGTAAGAAATGGTAAAGTATAAACTCTCATTACAAAAATTTCATCAGCAATCTATTTTATATATCTTGTCCACAAGAAAAGGGAAAAAAAATTCTGATTAATAAGAAAAATGTAGCTGGTTAGCCTAGCACCGACAAAGAGTCGAAGATTATAGTAATTACCATATCCAAATCCATATGCATAGGAAAATTAACATTCCTTTGTCTAGTTGACACTCTATGAGAGCCACCAAAAAATTGATTTCTCATTTGTGCCATTCGTGCAGAGTGGGTTACTCGAGTCCGTGTTCTATTAGAAGAACTTTGTACAGATTGAGATCGAGTGCGTCTATTTGCCTGTGCTACCATCGAGCCCCTTTGACTCTAAACAAAAGAACCAATCAACTTTTAGATAGCAGAAGGATACGGGGAGCATCAGAAATAAGAACGCATGATTGAACTGTACTCGTTAAAGATCATATTATATACAATTTTAAAAAAACAGAGAAAAATAAATGGAAGAAAGATCAAAGTTTTGTAGGAAAACATGTTATCTATCTTTCCACCAAACCCATTAAGAAAATGCATTTAGGAAACATGGTAATTCAAAGCTATGTCAATTACACCAAAAATGCTGCTGCAATCACAGGAAGAAAAAAGGACAGGCAAAGGATATAATACATTGTGTGTCCGCCGGGAAGGAGGTGCAAAATGCCCATTCTCCACCTGCTGCAGTGCCATAGCTAAATGTTCATCAATCTGCCAGAAGAAATATAAAACTTATGATAACTAAGAATACCATCTTAGTAATTGCTGATTAAGCATGGATAAGCACAGCTTAAAAATGAATTAATCACCTCTTCTCCAACAGGCATCTCCTGATATAGTTGTTCCTGAAGGTCACGAGCCAACATCTCGTCAGCTTCAAGTTGTCTTGCCTTAGCATCTACACTGTCATCATTTGGGCAACCAACAGTCTGGGAGGTAGGGTGTCTAATTTCAGGTGACAACTCATCAACCTCAATAACATCATTCAAGTTATCACAAATTCTTTGACTCTGGAGTCTATTTGACCTTGCATTTGAAGACTCCCCAGGTGTATCGAGGTACACAACGTCTGGAACGTGCAATGAAGTATTAGTTTGTGAGGTTGATCCAAGTTTCTTCCGTCTTTTGTTGAGTTTGCTTTCAGCATGCATTGGTCCAACGGTCTGGTCTATCTTGGGTACAATGCCAAAAGCCCTTTGAGCTGTATCAGCATTTCTAGCACAACCAATTTCCGCTCCTTGGTCTTTCTTGTTAGGGGTTTTTCTCTCCATAACAATTTCAGTTTCTCCATTAGAAAGTTTTCCAATGTTATTTATTTTCTTAAAAGAATTCCCAGATGGATTAGACAAGAAAATCCCCTTCCTTGAATTATTATGTGTTCTTCTCCAACCACCTAATTCTTCAGAACATTCAGATGTATCTAATCTGGAAGTTCCGACTGGATTAGCTCCAACGGCCTTTTCCGCGACACTGAAAGCAAATAAGATATCAGGACAAATTGCTTTTGAAGGCTGCAGGCATAACAAGACAAATCAAAGCTAAATTTTAGTATGCATTGGCATCAACAACTTGAGTTGTTAAATGCACGTTATTTTTACTGATATTTAGATAGGGTTCAATTTCCAACTACTTTCAGTTGTTGTAAATCCAACAAAACAGTTAACGTGTGGTTTCATATACCTGCTAGAGTGGTCATAAAGTAGTTTGCCAATCAATCAATGAAAAGACTGTAGTCTATTACATGAAGACATGGAATAGAACAGCACTATAGTGGAGAGTCAAATCTATTTGATCGAAAGTCCCTGGTAAAGTGGCACTAAGAACTTTCAGGCCGAACGAAAATGACAAACATGCATAAGGCAACATGCAACAACCTTGAGAAAGTGAGTAGTTTTACAAGCACTCAATTCAAGACGGCAGGACGTACTAAAATCCTAACATTAAGAACAAAGCTGGATTTGAAGTGTTTACCAAATTATTTTGTAATACGAGGATAGCAGAGCCTGAAAGTGTCAAAATTAGCACTCCGGCAGCAAACCATAAGGTTGTTTGGAGGACATAGGAAATTTCTAAAAACAACGGGTAACATTTGTAAGATAAATGAACTGCCATTACGTCCTAACGTGAATAAAATAAACAAAGATGCCACTCCTAGATTCACCTTCGATAGAGGGAAGAGGTTCCAGAGTGACGAAAGTATGAGGACTCTAAAAGAAAGTGCAGTTTTATGCTTACATAAAGAATTTCAATTGAATGTATGAAACCCGAAGCACCGACCAAATAAGCTTGAGCGAGAGCATGCAAAAATACTAGTAAACTCACAAGAGGAAAATTTCAGTCTCCAATACCTCACATAGGCAGCCAACATCAAAATATGAGCAGAAAAACACAATTTCAGCATGGTGTCAACACTAAATAAAAAATTTTAATCCTTGCAAAAGCATAGCATGGGGATGATCTTTCTGTTACCTGCTAGATGCACAAATGACTTTGATATCATCATCATCATGTGATGTAGAAGGTTGACGCATAATCCTTTTTCCTTTATCTTTGTTAATACGATTGTCTTCCGCAACTATATCCTTTATATCAATCAGACAAGATGGACTGCTTGATGGCATGCTCCCTAAATTGCTCTGGTCTACACCTCTAGAACTCTTTTCACACTGCTCAGATAAATGTTTTGTCTTTGATGATATATTATGAGGTGAGATACAACCATTTCTGACCAGCCTTTTATGTCCAGTGGCTCTAGGGGAGTTAACAAACTGGTGAGAATCCAAAACTTGCTTCTCATGTCGATTATGAGTGTTATTTGATTCCTCAACAGCCTTTTCCTTCCCTTTAATGATCGTGCTGGATCTCTTTGGAGCATTTGGCATATAACGTGTGGACTGTCCATTCAATGTGTTCTCCATCTTACAGTCCTTAGCTGTAAAATGAGGATAAACCATCTGAGGTCTGTACTTATGATCAGGTTCTCTTATTTTTGGAATGACAGTATTTTCTTGACGAGCAGGAGGTTTGGAAGGAGTGTCGACAGATATCGTAATCCCTTTATCAATGCGACGAGGGGAATTAAAAGGTTTTGGCCCCTGACATGAATATTTTTCCCTTCCACCTTTTCTAAGTAAAATATGATTTTGTGATGCATAAGAATTCTCTCCCGCTGAAAGAATAATGGTGTTACTGCGATCCTTAAAATCATCACCAGGAATATTTTTGGAACTACTGTCTAATCTCAAATCATGCCCATTTTCACTGACAAGCACCCCTGCACCCTTCATGCCATTCATCCCCTTTTCCATCATGAAATCAGGCTTTCTCAAACGATTAGATAAGGATGAACCACCCTCCGTCTGAATAAACTGTCTGCCATTAATTTGTCGGGCAGCTAACCGATCAGGTGTATCAGGAACATCCATGATCCATTCAGTCTCCATCTCCTTCATGATCTGCATGGGAAAAAAAATCAACTCCCAATAGTTATAGTACCCCAACTGGGGACACTCAAAAAAACAAAAGGACAATTGGGAATTAAGTGGTAACTAATGAACATATTGAGAGTAAACAGGAACATGAGTAGTGAAACCATGCTGACACTCACTAGTAGATTTTCCAACCAAACAGTAAAATGTAAATTTATGAACGAAAAGAAGAATAGGAAGATTTAAACGTAAATTCATGAACAAAGAAGAATAGGGAGAATTTAACATATATTAATAAAAAGCTTATCATTACAATCAGCCCATAGGTTCACATCTTGATGCTCTTTCGTTTTGTTGCTTTGAAATTATTAGCATTTAGCATCTATAAAAGCAAAAGAAACATGAGAAAGTAGAATCATAAGCTTATGTACAAGCAAAATAGCAATCTACCCTTATTTGAATCCTATTCAAGCATACCTTTCCACAAAGGGAATCGTTTCCTACTAAGAAAAAGTATTAGAAAATCACAGATTCTTTCACAGTAGAACATGTATTTCTATCACAATCAAGAAATCCATCTCCCACTCCTTTTTCCTATGATAGATATAAACCAAGGCGACCACAAAATCTATAGGAGATATCGATTCTCAATCAACTATCAAATTCATGTCTTGTAGAGCACAATGGATAGACAACAACATCCTACAAGTACTCCAGCTCTAACCTTCTGTGTTATGTTCTAATCGTTTTTCAAGAACCAACTGATTCAGAAAATTTTATTCAACTAAATCAGAGCCAAAAGAATTACAAAAAACAAACCATTCCGATCATCTAGAAGGCGAATCGAATGCCACAGTAAATAATATTCAGAACGTATATTAATTAATGGAAAAAGAAAAGGCAACAACCAAATTGAAAATTTTCACAATTTTAACCTAAAAGTGCAATGTTCAAACGAAAGAATTGATCAAACCTCGGCGAATTTCTGGTTCAAATCCAGAAAAGCGAGAAGCCCACGGGTTGAATTCAATTACGACGAAAAAGACGATGGTGAGGCCATTCAATCACCTTCATCCTATTTCTTCCCTTCTCTAAAGTCTGAACCCACCGTTCCCTATTCCCTGGTGCGAGTGGAGTCGGGTCGGGTCGCACCGTCTATTCGAATTTGGGCCCAGATAATATTGAGGCCCGATTAAGCAACCTTGGCCCATTAAAAACTTTCTGGGCTTTCATTTCATTTCAGTCCAAAATTTTAGCGGTAGTTGTATTTCCATAAATATGTGTAAATATGTTCTTTTATAAATAATGATAATAACAACAACAAATATATTGGCTAAATTATTAAAATAAAAATAACAAAAATAAAAATAAAAACCTTCTAATTTTGTCCCTTGTTCTTAAAAAAAAATAAATATGTATTTTTCAAAAATAATTTACATTTTATAAAGGTTTTAATGAGTAAAAATACATTGAAATATGATTTTTCGTCTGATGTTCTCGTAGATTTCTACTACAAATGTAATTATAGAACATTTTATTATCCGAACACATTTGCCCCAGCTTGAAGAATGAACACCTTACGAGTTTTGTTATCCATGGTTGCCCACCTAAACGATAGTTTATTAATGTTCATTGATTTGAACTTCTTCCTCATTTCTAACTACGAATAAAATCGAGAGCAGTCCGAACCAAACCTAGAACGAAAACGGATTCGATTCACTCCCCATTCTCTCTTAAGTAAAGAACTCACCCTTGAGCTTTTAATAGTCAAGGGTGCGTCGTCTAAGTTTTTCCTATTAATTCTCGCCACGAGAAAGATGCATAGAAGAGGTTTGTCCAGCACATAGAGGATCCATTGAGACTTTCTCTCGTCTCGAGAGTAAAATGTACAATCTTTTCCCCTAATTATATTGAATCAATAAAAAATGTCAACACTACAACCCGTTTGATCCAATATTGATATTAATTTGTTGATGTCAAAGTATCTATTTCGTTCTCCACAAATAGGGGGTGGAAACCTTCCCTGCTGATGCGTTTTAAAGCCTTGAGGGGAAGCCCAAAGAAGACAATATCTGCTAGCAGTGGATCTAGGCTGTTACAAATGGTATCAGAGACAGACACTAGACGATGTGGTAGTCTTCTCGCTGTTCCCCGAAGGAGAGTAGACACGAGGCGGTGTGTCAGCAAAGACGCTGGCCCCAAAGGCGGGTGGATTTGGTGGTGGTCCTACATCGATTGGAGAAAGGAACGGTGTGCCAGTAAAGACGCTGGCCCCAAAGGAGGGTGGATTTGGTGATGGTCCCACATCGATTGGAGAAAGAAACGAGTACCAGCGAGGACGCTGGACCCCGAAGTGGGGTGTATTGTGATATCCCATATTAGTTGGGAGGAGAACAAATCACCTTTTATAAGGGTGTGAAAACTTTCCCCTAACAGACGCGTTTTAAAGCCTTGAAGGGAAGCTCTTAAAGCCTTGAAGGGAAACAATCAAACAATGGTATCCCAACAAGAACAATAATGAGATAAAAAATGTCATTTGATATGATAAAATAAAAGGGATATACCACGTGCACGCCTCGTGTTAAATAGGCCACTGTCTTCCCCTGCAAGAATGACTAGAAACAAAATGATGAAGCAAACAAGAGAGGAAGTGGGGATGTGATCTTAGGAACTGGATTTGTTGAGCAACTCTAAATGGGAACTAGAGGAAGGGTCTCTAACTACAGCCTCCTGGTTCGTCCTACTCGTCCGTCACACACCCTTTCGATGCCGCCTGCACGTTCCTGATGTACTGAAGACGAAGAACGAGGATAGTTTCATGTTACATGAAGGAAAGTTTCAGACATGGGAAGCGTAGAGATGGTTATGTATGACACGAACCTTGTAGAGAACACCTCGGGTTGCCCGGTATGCAGGTGGAATCCAGTTCTTTCTTCGTTCTTCCAGCTCTTGTTCGGATAATTGAACATCAATACTCCGGTTCTGGACGTCGATGTTGATGATATCACCGTTTCGAATCAACCCAATTGGTCCACCTTCCTGCATAATGGTTACAGAAGCAGCATTTGAACATTATTTGATCAAAGATGGGGGCACAAGGGGGGAGGAAAAGGAGAAAACTTCGCATTCTTTATCTTAAAGTCTAAACTTTGATGTTACATTCTTCACTCCCAAAGTTTTTGTGAAACTCCGGTTCTCGTGTGCCAAAAGGACGGAGAGCACAAACTGAAACCAAAAAGGTTTCGTTCTCTGAAGAAACATTGCTATTTGGTCCTCGACTTATTGAATTCTCCCTACTCTGGATGCTATTAATTCAAATAGTTAATGCATATCTCTTCGACCAAGAGATCAAAGGTTTGAATCTTCGTTCTTCTCTTGTGTGCCAAAAGGACGAAGTACAAACTGAAATAAAAAAGGTTTCTTTATCTGAAGAAACATTGCTATTTGTTCCTCGACATATTGAACTCTCCCTACTCTGAACGCTATTAGTTCAATAGTTAATGCATACCTCTTCGACCAAGAGATCAAAGGTTTGAATCTTCGTTCTTGTGAAACTCTATTTCTCTTGTGTGCCAAAAGGACCAAGAACAAACTGAAACCAAAAAGGTTTCGTTCTCTGAAAAAACATTGCTATTTGTTCCTCGATCTATTGAATTCTCCCTACTCTGAGCGCTATTAATTCAAATAGTTAATGCATATCTCTTCGACCAAGAGATCGACTCTCTCTACAATAAGCTTCTATTGTTTCAATGAAGTTCAATAGTTTAACGAAAGTGAGAAACAAAACGCACCAATGCTTCAGGGCATATGTGACCGACAACGAAGCCATGTGAACCACCGGAGAATCTTCCATCAGTCAGCAATGCCACTTCCTGTAGATGTCAATGGCAGTGTAAAGATGAATTTGACTTCAGAGAGGTTATAATCTAATGAGTTCAAACACCATACCTTCCCCAAACCAGCCCCCATTATGGCACTAGTCGGTGTTAACATTTCAGGCATGCCCGGTCCCCCTTTAGGACCCTCACCCCTAATGATCACCGTTTTCCCCTAAACGAATAAACCAATTTAACTTCAGTTAGAACATACAAAAGAAATACGAGTACTTGCACGTGCGCGTATATGCATGTGTTGCGTATCCATACGTCCACTCCTTAAAATTTACGAAATGTCATCAGTACCTTAAAACTTGAAGGGTCCTCTGTTATTGCTGCAATCATCGATTCTTCCCCTTCAAAAACAAGAGCAGGACCTGCAAAACAGATTTTTTTAAGTAGAATCATTTGTTTTCAGAGAACTTTATGTTCATTCCTTGCAATAACTCGTAGTAAGCTATAGGAATTGATTGATTCTAAATCAGAAAAAGGAAGAAACTCAATATATCTTTTAAATAAAAAATTTGATTGTGACATTTCTGGTTCATAAAGCATCCTGAAAGCTTAGTAAACGATACCAGAGAAATATAGCCCCTCCTTTCCAGTGATCTTAGCTACTGAACCCTCGGGAGCAAGATTTCCATATAATATTTGAAGGTGCCCTGTTTTCTTGATGGGATTCTCCAAAGATTGAATAACACGCTGCCATTAAAAGAACAAGAGGTGTAGTTATAATTTTCTTGAGAATTATAACCTGAATTGTGAAATCGTGGATGCATTAATCTCAAAGCCATCATACCTGCCCTTCAGTTAGGGGTAGGAAAAGTTTAGCGTTTTCGGCCAACGTTTTTCCCGTGACTAAGAACAAAAAATGAGAATAACGTCACTAACGGAAATCGCTGAAGTTAAACTGCAAATGCCATGTAAATATTTGTCGAAATATACTAGTTAAACAATCTCCATCTAAAAGTTCGTTCTCCAACAAATAGCGAATAACTGCAGGTGTTCCTCCAATCTATCAAAACAAATATTGCAATAGTTATCAAGAAGAACGACCGTAAGAATAGTGTACCGGTACATGTTCCACTAGGCCTAAGATCGGGAATGAGATGAAAATAAAATGCAGACCTTGTGAATATCCTCCATGACATATGTTCCACTCGGCCTAAGATCGGCAAGTAAAGGGACCTGATCGCTGACCTTCTGAAAATCATCAAGGGTTAAATTCAAACCAACAGACCTGCCAAGAAAATTTCCATTAGCCACGCGATTTCTACAGTAAAGAGGTCATAAGTCGAGGAATAATTTGTCGTCTGGCTCTCCTCACCTTGCTATAGCAATCAAGTGTAGCACTGCATTAGTGGAACCACCCAAAGCCATAACAACAACCATTGCATTTCGTAGTGATTTTTCTGTAATAATATCCCGGGGTTTCAAATCCATCTTCAATAATTCCAGAAGATATTTTCCAGCTAAACGGCATTCGTCCAACTTTAGTGGATCCTCAGCGGGCGTTGACGAGCTTTAGGACACATGAATCGGATGAGAAATAGGATAAATCTAGAGAATGCCTTTGCTCATAGATATTGTAGACTGGAGATATATCTTACCTGTAAGGAAGAGACATGCCCATAGTTTCAATAGCACAAGCCATTGTATTAGCTGTATACATACCACCACAAGCCCCGGCTCCCGGGCAGGAGTTGCGGACAACATTCTTCCTCTGTTCATCACTTATCAACCCGCTTACATATTCTCCATATACCTAAGTGCAATAATTAAAACAGGTTTAAATGGTACTATAAAATTTTGAAGAACAAGCTCTGTTATTAAGAAATTTTTTAATCAAACAGGTTTCGACATATATACGGTTAGGAATCACGGATCTCCACAGTGGTATGATATTGTCTACTTTGAGCATAAGCTCTCATGACTTAGCTTTGGGCTTCCCCAAAAGGTCTCATGTCGATGGAGATACTATTTCTTGCTTATAAAGCCATGATCATTCCCTAAATTAGCCAATGTGGGACTCCATCCCAACAATCCTCCCCTCGAACAAAGTACACTATAGAACCTCCCCTACGGCCTATGGAGCCCTCGAACAGTCTCCTCTTAATCAAGGCTCGTAGTTACATGTTTATGTAGACCCAAAGAGACGATCCCAAAAAGAAACGTTGTGTTCAAGAATTTTACATATACATAATGTGATTTTAAACATAAATAACTTTATATGTTAAACTAACAAATATTGAGACTTCTAAATGAAATAACTAAAAATTAAAATTTCTTCGGTTTTGCCTTCGGTATGTAAATACCTGAAATGCAGACACAATGTCGTATGTATGGCCTTGAAAATGACCAGGCTGCCGAAGAAAAGACAACAGAAAAAAATATAAATTACAAATAACTTCTTGATAAACATAAGATTCAATTGAAAGTTTATATTCAAGTCATGGATACGAAATCCGAGTTCCAAACCTTGATGGTTCCACCGTAAACCATAATACTCGGTCGATTCAGCCTTCCCATAGCCATTATTGTACCAGGCATCTGTAGAACAGCCAGGGATGAGCACACAATTGTAATTATGAACGAAAAACAACTAGAGCTCTTCACTGAGTTCCTTTTTCTTTGTAACTTTTCATTATACAAGAATGAACTCAGAGCCCACAAGATCACACCTGATTCAGCAAGGTAAGATTTCCATACAGATAACCATTATTTCTACAAAAGAAAAAAAAAATTACCTCCTAGATCAAGCTGAATGACATTCTTGTCGTTTTTAAAATATTTGATTACATGTTTAGCCCTAATTTGTGTTTATTTGGTCTTTGAACTTTAAAATGCGACTTTAACTTTCAATTCTATGTTTCAAATTCGGTAAAGTTTGAAGACCAAATAGATTGACTGAACTAAGCATGTAATTAACCTTTTACAGAATCATGCTTGTTTCTTAATGTTGTTCTTTGTTTCCTAATCTAATTTCAGAAACGTCACCAAATTTTGAAAAGTTCATGTCATTTAACCTGTTTTTGTTCTTGAAAAATTGACCAAGATTTCAGAAGTGAAAAACTAAACAAAGAAACGCATGCATCAATAGTGTTCATAAGCTTACAGAGACCCAAATCCAAATTTAAGAAGCTAAGAGAAAACTCACATTCTTATCACAGCCAGGGATGGAGATATTCCCGTCGTACCACTGAGCACTCATGACAGTCTCGATGCTATCAGCAATCAAGTCCCTCGACTGCAAGCTATAGCACATGCCTCTGGTTCCCATGGAAATGGCGTCACTAACGCCAATCGTATTGAACCTAAAGCCAACCATGCCGGCTGCTTGAACTCCATATTTGACAGCCTCGGAGAGCTGCAACAGGTGCATATTGCAGGTATTTCCCTCGTACCAGACCGACGAAATGCCAATCTGCGGCTTGCTGAGATCGTCATCGGAGAGGCCAACGCCGTGGAGAATCGCCTGAGATCCGCCCTGCGACTTCGGCTCGGTAATGCGAGAGCTATACTTGTTGAGCTTTTGAACGGCGGGGGCACTGGGCGATGGAGACTCTACATTGGAAATCGAGGCTCTAACAAAGAAGGGACGCCTTCGTTGGATATTGGTCGATGGTGTGACTGCGATAAACGGGGCGGCGCGTGGAGACGGAGATATTATCGCCGACTGCATTTTGGCGGCGGAAATGGACGGCGGCAGCGGCAGAATCAGGGTTTAAGAAGGATATGGCAACGGATAAGGGAGGAACGTTTATTCATCAACAAGAAGACGGAGTTTGCTGACGTCATCAGTCACTAAACGACGTGTCGATAAATATTTATTCCGTTTTTGTGCTTTGTAAGCAGTTTTTTTTTTCACAAAATCGGTTATATAAATTATATATATATTTCTTAAACCCATTAAATTTTTATTTTTATTTTTTATTATTTTTGTCATAAATTACCCTAAATAATAAGGCATAGTTTTAGCTCGAGAACTCGAGTATAGTTAAAACGTCTCTACCATAAGCTTGACTTAATATTTTTTTTTAAAGAAATATATTATTTTTATTTTACTTTGGTTCAATTTAAAATACGAACCCATGTCTAATCCATATCGACACACTATAATTCTTAAATTTTTATTAATATTTGTTCGAAAGTCTTTTAAATTTAGGAATCAAATAAATTTTTGGAAGCATAATATCATTTATATATATATATATGTGTTTATTTATTTATTTATTATAAATTATATTTAAAATGTCTAAAAGACAGCGACTCTTTGTTTACATCAAATAATTATTAATAACGTTAATTAATGATTTTGAAAATGTATAGTTTATAATTTTTGTTATGACACGTGGACCATGATTCTAATTGGGCCTAAACTGAGATTGCCAACGTCGAGGTGGGCCCATCATCATTTGGGCTCAAACTGTTTGGGCCAAACAATTTAACCCACGGTTAGATTTTTTTTTTTGTAGGTTGATATTTTTTTTGTATGGGAGCCGAAAAATATGTTTACCGTCTAATCCAACCTTACCTTTATTTTAAAATTATTATGAAAATTAATAATATTTGACGGATGTTAGTAATGTGTTAGTGAATCGTTAGTATTTTAAACAACGTAAATTAGCAGGATTTTTTAAATAATAATAAATAAATAATTGAACAATCTGATTTAATCCAATTAAATCGAAAATTTGATTGGTTCCAAAGATTTTCCAAAACCAACTCAACTCTACCCAATCTGTATGCACCTTTTGAAAATGACCAAGGTTGAAGTGAGTCAATCACTTTATAGGAGCGGGTCTCATACACCCACGACACGAGATGACCTAGAAGCATGGTTGAACATTTTTACTAAAGTAAATATAAAACTTTTATATATATATTACATGGATGAAAAGTTGTCTCTAGAAATACCCAATAATGGATGATATTATTAATTAAATTAATTAAATTCAAAACATAAATTTGACTAAATACCATGGATCATATTGGAGTCCCCTAAAAATAATTTTTTAAATAAAATACCCAATAATTAATATAATTATTCATCAAATTAATTCCATTTTAAAATCATAACATTATTTGAAATTTAGTAGTTATGATAATTGTATTTAATAATAGATAAATAGTATTCAAAATTTAAACGCACGATACAACCCACTAAGCCTTTATTATTATTATTATTTTCCTTCAAAGCCATGCGTTTCATTTTCAATAAATTAATACAAATTTTTTTTAAATAATATTTTAAACTGTCTTCTTTTTCTTTTGCCTATTTTAATTATAATTAAGAGTTAAATTTTTTAATACCACGTAAAATTAAAATAGGATAGAAGTTGTCAACATAATTCTAATAATTAAATAAATATAATAAAGGAAAATTTTAAAAATCGAGACCCTGCTATTTTCATTTATATTTAAAAAATATTCATTTATTTTAGTCTATATATTTATAAAATATATATATTTTTATTACTTTTTACAAAATTTCGATACAAATTTGAAAATATATATATAATAATAACAATAATATTTTTTATTAATTGTTTTAAAATACATTGGAATAAAGCGCATAAATATTTTATTAAATAAATATAAATAAAATTTATGGAGTAAATAAAAATACGTTAAAATATGATTTTAGTTCACATAATTTAAATTTTATTTTAGTTTTTATAGTTTCAAATATTTAATTTTAATCACGTTATTAAATTTAAAACTATGTCAGGTATAAAAATTATTATTTATTTTTTATTAATTGTTTTAAAATACATTTGAAAGCGCATAAATATTAATACACAACATTTGTTATTAAATAAATATAAATAAAATTTATTGAGTAAATAAAATTAGGTTAAAAATATGATTTTAGTTCATATAATTTAAAATTTATTTTATTTTGGGTTTTATAGTTCAAATATTTAATTTTAGTTATAATTAGTGTTATTAAATTTATTTTTATAAAATTTAAAATGATGTCATGTATAAAAATTATTATTTTTTAATTAATGGAAAAAATTAAATAAAGAAAAGAGAAGAAAGTGGAAGGCGCAAGCTCCTCCTTTTGTGGCTCTCACATGGCGACTTTCCATTAGATAATCTGTCTTCTTCTGACTTCCTATTAGACTCCTCTTTGTTCTTATCCGATAAAGGCTTTCAATTCGCGGAGGTAAAACCATTTGGAGTTAAAATCCTCAATTACTTCAATTTCTTTCGCTTTCATACATGCTATTTGCAATTTGATTCGATTTCAATTTTGAAACGCGCCATCTCTTTGGCAAAACCCTTCCAAAATCAAATCCCTTCGATCTCTTTCTTGTAGACCGCTGTTTCAATCTCTGTTTGTCTGCCTACCAAACGCTCGTGCGAGCGATCGCCTTTTTCTCTTGTTACTCTTTTTGATACAATAATCATTTGTTGTTTGGTTTTTGCCCTTTGCTTGGATGGTGGGGTTTTCCTGCCTTTTTATTGTATTCCTTTCTTGATTCCTTTTCATGTTCTTATTCATTTCTTTACAGATTATACTGGTATTGATTGTATTTCTTTTTTCCTCTCGATTTATAATCTGTTCTTCACGCACCCACATGCATGTTTTTGGGTTTGTCTGATCTGGATTGGATCGCAAGGATCTTTTTGTTCTTTTTCTACTTGAAGAGAGAGAGAAAAAGGGTGGGTTTAGGCTCTTTTTCCCCCAATCTTGGTCTCTATTTGGGGTCATGGAAGAAGCAAACAGGAGGAGGAGAAGGTGAGATATCTTGAATTGAAGGATATTCTCATTGGTCCACTTGAGAAACCTTTCTTCTTTGTTTGATATTGGTGTCGACGTTCTCTATTGGGCTGTTGCTTGTGTTCTTGTGACGGCGGGGTGTAGTCCAGTAATTGAGTCTGCTGGAACTCCGGGAAGGATTCAAGAAATTCTTCCATTTTTGTTGGCTAATCATAATGTCCTCGCTCTGTGCTTATTGAGTTTGATTTTTGAACTTTGTTGAGTTTTTGAGTTGAATGACTCTTGATTTGGAATGCTCTTGAGCCATGGCTGGTATTGATGTTTCCAAGTATGCGCATAGCCCTGTACACAAGGCTGTGGCCACTAGGGATTATACCAGTCTCAAGAGAATCCTTGCAGGCCTTCCTAGGCTTTGTAATCCATCCGAGATTCGCACGGAGGCTGCTTCGTTAGCTGAGGAAAACAAGGCTGATGCCATTTCTGCCATGATTGATCGCCGAGATGTCCCGAATCGGAACACTCCACTGCATTTGGCTGTAAAGCTTGGGGACGAGACTGCTACCGAAATGCTTATGATTGCAGGGGCAGATTGGAGCTTGCAAAATGAGCATGGTTGGAGTGCACTTCAGGAAGCTATTTGCAGTAGACAAGAAGGGATTGCTATGATAATAGTTCGGCATTACCAGCCATTGGCTTGGGCGAAATGGTGTCGGAGATTGCCTCGCTTGATTGAGACGATGCGAAGAATGAGGGATTTCTACATGGAAATCACTTTCCACTTCGAGAGTTCAGTGATCCCTTTCATTTCCAGGATTGCTCCTTCAGATACTTACAAGATCTGGAAAAGAGGTGCTAACTTGAGGGCAGATATGACATTGGCTGGTTTTGATGGATTTCGGATTCAACGTGCTGACCAGAGTGTTCTTTTTCTTGGCGACGGGACAGAGGACGGAAAAATGCCTTCTGGTTCACTCTGTATAGTATCACACAAGGAGAAGGAGGTAATGAATGCTTTGGATGGTGCTGGTACTCAGGCAACAGAAGAGGAAATTAGACAAGAAGTGACAGCAATGTCTCAGACTAATATATTTAGACCTGGAATCGACGTCACTCAGGCCGTTCTTTTGCCTCAGTTGACTTGGAGGCGCCAGGAGAAATCCGAAATGGTGGGTGCCTGGAAAGCTAAAGTATATGATATGCACAATGTGGTTGTAAGTATCAAATCCAGGAGGGTCCCTGGGGCTATGACAGATGAAGAGTTGTTCTCATCTTGTAATGAAAATGAAACCGAGGGCGAGGAGTTTGATGACATTTTAACCGAGGACGAGCGAAAGCAACTCGAGAATGCACTTAAACTAGATTCATCCGAATTAGCTTCTGAGAACGGCGACGGGGTTATCGGGCATCGCCATAGTTGTTTTGAGCAAAGGGAAGTTCCTATTGAGGAAGCAAATGGAAGCGGAAATGGAGATATACGTCAGGAAAAGAAAGGATGGTTTGGAGGATGGAGGAAACGAGATAGAAAAAGCGAAGCGCCGAAGAAGATTGCTCCTCCAAGAAGCTCCCTTTCTCTGGATGATAAAGCAGGCGATCTTCTAGGGGACTATCCTGAAAATCATAGCAGTAGACCCGGAAGACATTCTGTAGAGATAGTTGCCGAACACCGAAGAGGAAGGGAAATCCGAACTACCTCTTCTACGTCCACGAGCAAAAATCGGCACAAGGATGGGAGTCATGAAAATGAGTACAAGAAAGGGTTGAGACCTGTTCTTTGGCTTTCTCCAAGCTTTCCCCTACAAACTGAGGAACTACTGCCGTTGCTGGATATTTTAGCTAACAAGGTCAAGGCAGTTCGCCGTTTGAGAGAACTGCTAACCACAAAACTCCCAATGGGAACCTTTCCGGTTAAGGTATGATAATTATTTTAAGCTGAAATTTATATTTAAAGAAGCTAAACTAGAAGATAACAGCACCATTACTCCTTAGTTTAGGTGATATGGCAAGAGAATGCTGTTTTTCCTTCTTGTAGGATTTCGACACCGAGGGGTCCATCGTTTTAAGTGTGGCGTAATAGTCGACTTTCTCGTTTTAAGTGTGGTTCATCGTTTTAAGGGGTTCATCGTTACATGTGCTGAGGAGTTTGCTAGCAATAGATTGATCTGAAGAAAGTCTAAATGATCTCTACTCTTAACATCATCATATCTATATCTGTATATACATACATATATATGGAAATACCCAATGAGTTCAAGCTTTTTTTTCCCTCCTGATTCTTGGAAATGAATATCATTTCATGCATGAAATGGATGTCATGAGAATTACTTGACTCAACCTGTAACGGCCCAAGCCCACTGCTAGCGGATATTGTCCTTTTTAGGCTTTCCCTTTTAGGCTTCCCCTCGAGGCTTTAAAGCACGTCTGCTAGGGAAAGGTTTCCACACCCTTACAAAGGGTGTTTCGTTCTCCTCCCCAACCAATGTTGGATTCTCACAATCCACCCCTTTGGGCCCAACATTCTCGTTGGCACTTGTTCCTCTCTCTAATTGATGTGGGACCCCCACCAAATCCACCCCCTTCGGGGCCCAACGTCCTTGCTGGCACACCGCCTCGTATCTACCCCCCTTCGCAGAACAGCCTCCTTGCTAGCACATAGTCCGGTGTCTGGCTCTGATACCATTTGTAACGGCCCAAGCCCACCGCTAGCAGATATTGTCCTCTTTGGGCTTTTCCTTTTGGGCTTCCCCTCAAGGCTTTAAAACGCATTTGCTAGGAAAAGGTTTCCGCACCCTTGTAAAGGGAGTTTCGTTCTCCTTCCCAACCAATGTGGGATTCTCACACAACAAAACTCGGAATTTATGGAAGCTTGGGAGTTTCATTCTCCAAGCATGTGAAGAAATCAACTTTATTATTACGGATAGGAGGATAAGCCAATTATAAGCAACTTTTGTGCATAATGCACTCGAGCTATAGGGCCTGCATGTAACTTCATTTTCATTTCTTTAGCTCTGTGAATCTGTGGTATGTTTTCTAAACATTTGATTGAGCTTGTTTCCAATGGTTATCTATTCAAGCTCTTGCCATATTCTTGCTTTGATTGGATGACCGGTAATCGATGATTCGACTAGCTAATATTAATTTGAATATCATGGTTGGTCAATTGTGCCCCTAAGTTAAGCAAACTCCAGGCATGAAACTGGCCTTTGTCAGCCTGGTCGAGTCGGATTACTCTATGATCATATTCTTCCATTTGTGATTGTTGGTTTTCAACATGGTGAAGATTTTGTTCTATTTAGAAGTGACGTTGGTTTCGAGACAGTCGAGACAAGTGTGTCGACTTTTTAGTTAACTTGGAAGTAGTATAGTATGGCATTTTTCAGTTAAGTTGGTTATTGATGCTGTACTTTTTACACAGGTTGCCATCCCTGTGGTTCCAACCATCAGAGTGATTGTTACCTTCACAAAGTTTGAAGAACTACAACCAGTTGACGAGTTTGCGACGCCTCCGTCGAGCCCTACGTCTGCAGCAAGCAGGGAGAGCCCATCAGCAACACATTCCTCAAGTTCGTCTTGGTTTCAGTGGATAAAAGCCCCGTATCAACACCCGAGTTCATCATCCAATGTTTCTAGCAGTAGGATAGAAACTCTCGAAGACCCGTTCGCCATCCCCCGCGACTACACCTGGGTTAATGCTGAAGAGAAGAAAAAGAAGATGCAGGAAAAAAACAAAGCAAAGAAAGGAAGAGGTCGCCGGGATTGAATCCAAAGTCGTCACGAGTTCGAGTTCGATCCCTAGAAGTCAAGAGCAGGGTCTAAACAGATTAGGAGAACAGATATGAGGTAGGAAATATAGTTTATTCATTTATAAATGCATCAATTTGTGTTTACTTCAATGGGAAATTTAAAAAATCATTGTGGGGGTGGAAAAGTAACTCTGATGTGGATTTTTTTTACACCATTTACTTTCACTTTTTACAGTGCTCTCTTTTACAGACTGTTCTAACATATGCTGATGGAATTTTCTATTTTTCCAAGTTAGGCTTGTATATTTGTATTTACAAAGTCGAGTTTATATTTAATACACGTTATTGTGGTAATCTTGTGTTATAAATTTGTTGGTTATTTTCGACGTAAATTAAGTTTACATAATCTTATAAAATACATATTTATATACATTTAGAATTTGCCTTTTTAGCTAAATTATGTAAATTTGGAGAAATTTTCAATTATGAAAACTTTTCACTTTTATATTTGAAATTTGTTCCAAAAAGTAACTTTTATGTAAAAATTCTACGTAAAAATTAATTACACAAATAATTAAATTAATTTGTGAGTTATAAATAATATTAGGCATATTTTTTAGTTTTTATTCATCAATTATATTCTCTTGATCAATTACAAATTTTAAAAAATAAATATAAATTTTTTCAAAATTTAGAAACATAATTTAGTCTACACAAAAATTTAAAATATTTTACAAGATATAACAGATTATTATTTTTAATTACTTACTTTGACTTTTTTTTTTTTTTCCTTCCCCTAAATGATGCCACTAGAAGTGAAAAATAAAGTAATGAAAATATGAAGAAAATCAGCTTGAGGCCGTATCGAACCTGGGATGAGGCCTTTTCCTGTTTGGATTACTTATGTCGGGCTGTCAATCTAGGGTTTGGACTGTCGGTCAATATCGCCGACATCAGGAACCTGTCGTTTCCATTACGTAAGGTTTCTTTTTTTTTTTTTGACAAAGACTACCTTTTGATAGCGTATATATTACATATATGTATTAGTCATTCTCTTCGGTTAGCTAAGAATGAATGTGAACCAATTCTCCCTTCTTGTGAACAAGTTCGACTTTTAGGAGTTAGAGTCCCTAAGTAGCAAGAATAAGATTTAGATGTAGAATTTTGATTACAAGGAATGAACGTTCTAAGAGAGCCGGAAAAGGAACAAAACAAAAAAAAGTGTTTTTTTTCAACATCAATGGGAAAGGCATAATATATATAATTGATATTTTATACTTTTGAAAATTAGTATTATGAATTAAACGACATTAGTTATATATAATATAAAGGAAATTTCAATCCCAATCCCACTAAGAGTGATGGATGAAAAAAGCTAAAAAAACTTGATAACAATTATATATAAAAAGCAGAACACTTAAAAGAAGTTTCAAGTTTGTGTCTCTATTACATTTCAGAGGGACCCACAACAATGGACCACATAGAGATCTACCTGAAAAATTGAAGGCATATTGCATATATAGATATATATATATATATAGATATACAGCAGTCCAAATTACAGAGCCTCCTCCCCGCATCTTAAAAGGGTATTATTATTATATTGTAGCAGAAGAGGGAAGGGAATTGGGGGTTACAACTAACCAACGTAGAAGAAGGAATTGAAGACGCCAAATTCAAAGATCTGCAAAGTTGGGTGCGTGAATCTAACCTCTACCACCGACATCGTCCAATTATGCATCGACGCACAGTTTACAGTGTCGAGATGATGGGAACTCAACAGTTGAAACCGTGACAGATGGACAATATAATTATGAGAATTAAGGCCAACACAATTCCGAACACGATCAATTTCATCTTCATGTTTTGGTACCACATCTTTCTTTTCATTTTAGTTCCTTGTGTCCTGAAATCCTGTGCCTGAAATCGAAACAACCATTGAATTCATCAACTTATGATGCATGTCGAGCAAACATTTCATCCAGGCATGGAAAAACAAGTATTCCAATAGCGATATTTAAAATTAGTCTAAAAACACTTTTAAACGCCCGAGTCTACCTTAGATAGATATTATCGACAAATCGATATAGAATCAAATAGCTCCTATTGATCTTGAATATTTCCAGCTTGTTAAGAATCCAATAAAGTGCATCGAGTTGATTGCGATTTACGTTGGGATTGTATTTTGCAATATTAAAAGGATAATTTTTATGGAGCTCACGATCAGACAAGAAACGTTCATACCTTTTGAACTATTAAAAGCATATTTTGGAATTATTTTGAATGCAACTAAAAGTGATTTTAACATAATATTACTCCCAAATCAGTTACTTTTCTTAATGGATACTCAAAACAATGCATTTGAAGATGACAGATGAACAAATGCAATGGACATGAACTCTGAGGTTGTTCCTAAACATGGCAACGGTATTTACAGGAATGCCACTGCCCGGGAGAGATGGAGACTAATTAATAATATGATCAAGCGGTATGAATTTACATTATTGACTTCAAAAAAGAAATTTTTTAAAACCAACCTGTGAGCGGAGATTCTCAGTTTTATCCACTAACAGCTCAATTTTCTCACCACGGTCAAGAACCTGCCAAACAGATAGAAAAATAGTTCTTTCAAGATTAAAATATCATCCAGAAGTAAATCATTAACAAAAAAAACAAATTAGCTCCACAAAATATCATCCAGAAGTAAGAAATTAAGAGAGTTTTGATTGGCAGGATTGAAACTATGTTGGTAACAAACTCGTCAAAACATTGTTGCTCCTTTTTACCTTCTCAATGTTTTCCATCATAACACCCTTGACTTCAGAAACCTGAGCCTTAACTTTAGCAAGCTTGCTGATCTCTTCAGGATGATCCACACAATATTGCATATGCTCCTTCAATTTCGACCTATGGAAATTAGTTTATAAATGAGTTTTGAAGGTTGTACCAACGAACGAGAACACATCAGTTACCAATGCTATCTGAAAGCCGTGGGAAAAATGCAACTTCAATTCCTGGTACTATCAAGAATGCAAGACTAGCTTTTTTAATTTTTTAATTTTTTAATTTTTTTGCTTTTGTTTGTTGCATTATCTTATTGTCTATGTTAACTATGTTCGAGGACTACATAGACTTCAGGGGAGGTTCTATGATGTACTTTGTTCGAGGGGAGAATTGTTGAGAATTGTTGGGAGCGAGTCCCACGTTCACTAATCTAGGAAATAATCATGGGTTTATAAATAAGAAATACATCTCCATTGATATGCGGCCTTTTGGAAAAGCCCAAAGCAAAGCCATAAGAGTTTAGGTTTAAAGTGGATACTATCCTACCATTGTGGAAGTTCGTGATTCCTATCCAACTATTTCTTCGGTTAGAAAAAATATTTCTAGATATATATTTGATAACAGGGCATTGGAAATAGTACCCAAATTCTTTGTTCAGGCTCTTAGCAGCAGCAGTTGAAGCTTTTCCTCCACCATATCTCTTGTTGAAATCTTCCTTGACTCGCTCAAGAAAAGCAATGGGAATTTGTCTACCAGCAGCTTCGATAGCAACCACACAGTAAGCTGCAGATTCACGTTTGAATTGTGCTAGTTAATCACATTCTCACACAAACTTTTACCATATGACATGTGAAGAACACAAATAAGAAAAACAAATGATGATGTGCCAAGAAAAATGGAACAGGAAGTTGGATGAAAATTGAATCACGAAAGAACTTGATGATTGGCTGTGAAGGAGATTATGCATCCACGAAATAAATAGCTACCAGGCTACTACCCTCAACCATAGCTAAATATTCAAGCAAATTCAGAAAAGGAAAATGGAAGGAATTCAGAAAATTCAACGAATAAAGCAATGCCAGGCTCTTCGTGTTCGTAGCTGATACCTCCATTTCCGATTCGGTATTTTTCTTTTCAGGTTAGATCAACCTGGATTCTAAACAATGCATTGTGCCTCCGGTCGCATGTTGCATGATATTACTGCTTCCAAATTGATCTCGTGCTCCTTTCTCTCTCAAGGTAACCAAAAACACGAATTCAATTTTTTTTATAAAAAATCTCAAATCGTTTGGTAGGTTTATAGCCGCCTATTAATGTTTATAAACAAACTTCAATTCTCGTTGAACTCAACAAAAACGTCCACCAATCCAAGAGAAGCAAAATGTCGAAACCTAATGCGATTCGAGAGATATCATGAGCTATAATTAACCAACGCACTAATGAACAAACCTTCGGAAGATAAAAATGGACGGATCTGTAACAACGACATTGTAAAACCAAAAATGGATCTCGCATGGGAAAGCTCAATAAAAATAACGAATGAATCATGACGAGATCAGGATCAGAAAAAAAATGCAACATAAATTCGATAAAACGAAACGTACTGAATCCATTCTCGACGAGATAATTGAAGGTGTGGCCATCGCAATTGTAGGTGAACTTATTGTTCGAAGCAGGGAGCTTCTGGAGGCATTGAGAGGCGATGCTTGTGAAATTTCCGCTGAAACCCGTATACTCGGCGATGATCACCGTTCCTCGAGCCACAAAACTGTAGATCAACGTCTGTTGCACCATTTTCGAAAGAACTCTGACTCAACAACAACACGGATCAAGATTCCAATAATATTAATACAATGCCACCAAAAAATCGTTAAAAAACAAAAACAATACAGACACGGAGAGAAATAGCTTCAGATCAATGGAGAAGATCAAACCAGATCGAATGAGGCTGAAAACTCCTTACCGATAATTGCTATTTCGAAAATTTTTGTTCGAGTACGCGCGTATATAGAGCGAGACGGAAAATTTGGGGTTCGAAATATTGGAGGAGAAACGGGAGGCTCCCCAAAATTCACATCGACATTTAAATGTAGTTAGCAACTGTAAGGAATCATTACGAACGTTGGTTGGTTTGGGACCGTATGGAAAAATATATAAATAATTAACAAATCCTAAAATAAACGCTCCCGCGGTTCATTTTGAAATTCTATTACCCATTATATTATATTATATTATATATATATATATATATATATATATATATAAATATAAAAAAAATAAAAATTATGTAATGAAATAAACCTCCGGGCTGTCTCTGCACCCCTACCTCCTTTATCACTGAGCGGTAATTTAGGGGTCCTAGTTGGTGATTCGGGCTGTTTCCCTCTCGACGATGAAGCTTATCCTCCATCGTCTCAATGGCCGACCTTGACTCTTGTTATTTTGAGATCATATCTAGTATTCAAAGTTTGCCTCGATTTGGTACTTCTTTTGCGGCCCGCATCAAAACAGTGCTTTACCTCTAAACGTCCAGTCAACTGCTGCCAACACATTTTGGGGAGAACCAACTAGCTTTGGGTTCGAGTGACATTTTACCCCTTACCACAATTCATCTGCTGATTCTTAGTCAATTTAAAATCATACAAAATCATGGTTGAAATAAGGTTTAACGTCATTCTAAAGAGTTTTAACGAAAAATATTATTATGCCATTATTCATAACTTTTTTAGTAGATGTCGTCGACCGTGCATGGACCCTTTGTTGTTATTTGAAAAGATGTTAAACATAAGACGAGTGTTTATAAATAATGGGTCGAAAAAATGCACTCACATGCAATATGTATGTAACCGCCAAAGCCCATTGCTGGTAGGTACCGTCTCCTTTAGCTCATTACGTATTACTGATAGATTCTCAGTTTTTAAATGCGTACGCTAGAGAGAAGTTTCTACAGTCTTATAAAGAATGTTTTGTTCATGTTTCTAATCGACGTGGGATCTCACAATCCATTGAATACCTCTCCATAGCAAACACATTTTAAAATTACGAGACTGACGATAATATGTAATGGATCAAAACGGACAATATTTGCTAACGGTGAGCTTGACCTGTTAGAAATTGTACCGGAGCTAAATACCAGGCTACGTGCCAGCAAGGACGTTGGGCCCCAAGGAGGATGGATCGTGAGATTACAGGTTGGTTAGAGAGTAGAATGAAACATTGTTTATAAAGGTGTATAAACCTCCCTAATTTGAGCTGTTGTTTTCGTTAAATGAATTTAAAATTATAATTTTTTTTAGACATTTAATTCGTAATTATTAAATATTCACATTGACAAAGGCAACTAATAGGTTTAAGATTCATACCCTAAAAAAAAAAAAAAAAAAAAAAACCTTACATTTTTTAAAATAAAATAATTAAATAAATAATTAGCCCTAAATGGTCACCAAAAAATATGGGGCACAATCCATATCTGACCCGACCGTATAAAACGGGTATTTTCGCCCGTTTGAAGCGGTTCCCGCCATAAATCTGTGTAGAATCTATTTTCCACTCAGTCTCCCGCCGGCGTCGAAGAACTGAGCTCATTTGCCAGTCATCGGTAGACGATCGACCACTGTGTGCCGGAGACGGCTAAATGGATATGGATATTCCTTTTCCGGACGAGCTCGAGCTTCTCGAAGAAGATTTTCATCTGTATGAAGATTACATGGAACCTGAACCGCCCGAAATCGACGACGAAGAAGAAATACTGGAAAAAGAGCCATCGGACAGTCCGATTCCGCAATCGAACTCGCCCAGATTATCCAGTATTGCATCGAATTCGGTCACTGAATCTTCTTCAGTGAATGGCCTTAAGCGACTGAGATCGGACGATGCCGATGCGCCGATGGAGTTAGTTTCGGATGATGCGGAGCCTTCAGGAGGGAAGAAAAGCAGGACTGAGAATTCAATGGTGGAGACCGAGGAGGCTTGGCTTCGATATTCCCCGCCCAGGGAGAAGAATTCTACGGTGGAAGAAGAAACGAGTTTGGTAGGGGAGGAAAAGACGGTTTTCAGGTACGTAACGGAGATCGATGGCGATTTTATGCCGATAACGGCACCAGATAGTGACGAGAGGGTTTATGCAAAGTTAGGCCGATTTGGGGACAAGGAAGAGTCCAAGAAATTGGACTTGAAAGAGCGTCACGAAGGTACTATTTTTTAGCTTTTTATTGGTAGTTTTGAGCAATTTGGTCACAATTGAGCTTGAAATGGCTAATTTATTCATCATTGGGGTGGAAATAAAACCAAGGACACTCAATTGAATAACCATAGGTAGAATCTCTTCCCCCTCATAGTTTTTGGTCCTTCAATCATTTATCCATGTCTGCTTTCCAGGTATAATGCCAGAAAATATCAATGTTTTAATGGAAAGAGCGGAGAAGGAGGCTTTGGCCAAGGTATGCAAACTCATAAAGATTCAGTGCTCGCTCAAGATATCAAAATTAACCATCATTACTTGTTTTTCTATGTAGTTTTAGTAGCCCCACGTTGCTATTCAGTGAAAATATTGTACAATTGACCATATGAGAGTTCGTAAGTTGAATTAAGTTGCTCATAAGAATTTAATAGTGAAATGGGTTTATTGTTTCTTTGCATCAGTTGAGATTTTCTACTCTCTGTAATTTTGAATTGTGAAAAGGTAGATGAAGTCTTAGACGTTGTACTTGCATGCATCACGTCACTTTGTTCGATCAATTTGGCTTGTATAAATCGTGTGGAAGGTAGTCTAAGGGTAAATTTGAGCTTACAGTACTGTTACACCAGTGACCATTATACTTTCTTCCATTGTTGTGACCATATTTTCTCTAGTTTATCCTAACCATTGTCTGACAAGTCAATCTTTGTATTATAGACCTTGGAGGCTAGTTCTGATATTCAGCTTGATCCAAGTCCCCCTCAAGGACCAGTGATGCAAGAGCGACTTTGGGTGGATAAATATGCTCCTAGTTCCTTTACAGAGCTTCTTAGTGATGAACAAACAAATCGCGAGGCACGTATTATATTTTAATGTCTTTGAACATTTGAATTCTTGTTTCTGTATTGCGGAAAACTATTTGAAGTTTAGATCTTTTTAGTAGTTCTTTTCTCTTATTTCAAATCATAACTTTATCTATTGGTCTTGTATGCAGGTTCTTCTATGGCTAAAACAATGGGATTCCTGTGTTTTTGGATCTGAAATTAGGACTACATCAGAGGAAGTTTTATCTTCTTTAAGGCGGCACACTGCCATTGCTCAGCATCATAGGCTCTCTGGCTCGAGTTTTACTAGGAAGAATAAATTTCAAGGACGGAGGACTGGTAATTTTCAAGATTCTACTTTCTTGGATCAACAAAATAGTATTGCAAATGGCAGTCAGGACACATTGAGCAAGAAGACGAGGCTTCCAAGTCCACCAGAACAGAAGGTATGCATTGTAAATAAAATTGATGATTGAAACGTTGCTGAATTAGACCCTTGGTTTTGGTTTGAAATTTCGAAGGTTGGATTTTTTTTAACCAAAATCATTAATGTCTTGATTTGTGCTATGATTTGAAGCTACTACTTGATGATATTCAAGAAGCCCGACAAGTGTAGTTCAATTTTCCCCCCTTTTCCAATTGCTTAAATAGAAAACAAAAAGGAAGGTTAACTGGTTTTCAGTTTTATTAATTGATCCTATGTTTTTCAATTTATTTTGAAGTTTCTCTCTCCTTATTTTCTCTATTTAGAGCTGCTTTTCTCCCTACCTCCCTTTTATTCTCTAATTAGATGCTCAGGAGACTCTTCATGTCTGAGCAAGGAAACAGAAACTCATAGCTTGTATAATAAATCTATACTTATTTAATTTGGGTAGTTTACACCTCCAGTTTCGTTGTATGTTTAAAATCCCATCCATTGTAATTTTTTTATCTTCTTGTACAAGCTAAGGATTTTGAAAGCCATTGTTATTATTGGTTCATCCCTACCTCACACGTTTTAAGGGATGGTTCATATTGCAATTTTATTGTGAATTGAGAGAAAATAATCTTGTTACTACTGCAGATCCTCTTACTCTGTGGGCCCCCAGGACTTGGAAAAACTACACTTGCTCATGTAGCTGCCAAACACTGTGGCTATCATGTGGTGGAGGTTTGTTGCTTTTTTTCGTGCAGACAAAGGCAAATAAGTTTCTTTCTTAAGTTGGCATATACTTTTGGTTCTTGTTTGCAAATATTTGATTAGCCTCAAAGCCATTATTTTCCGATCTCTGACATGCAAAGGCAACATCTTCTAGTTAGTTAAGGCTTAAGGGTTAACTTGTTAATATATATGTTAGTAATTAAAACTTTATGTCATTTGTATATCACGTTATCGTCATAAAGAGACAGGAATCAGCACACACGTTTTCTTATTTTAATTTTCTTCGGTCTTGGATGAAATGTTAATGGGTTATCTTGTCTTATTTGTGTTTTTTTATGTGATTTCATGCATGTATTTGGATATATGAAATCTATTACTTCGTCTTGTTTTGCTCTGATATTTCTACTAGTTTTAACTACGTTCGAACTTTTTATGCAGATCAATGCTAGTGATGATCGGACATCATCAACAATTGAATCCAAGATTCTTGATGCCATTCAGATGAATTCAGTCCTAGGTGATGCAAGGCCAAATTGTCTGGTTAGTCTTAGTCTTTCCCTTTTTTCGCCCCCACGTTGACACCCAAATTTGTAAAGTGAAGTTGAAGAAGAAAAAGGATAATGTTTGGTATTGCTCTATTTGAAGTTTCTAACAATCAATTCAAATGACGCAGGTAATTGATGAAATTGATGGAGCACTCGGTGATGGAAAGGGTGCAGTGGATGTCATTATAAAGATGGTAAATATATTTTCGTATTATTTCCTTGAGATCGTTTTTTTTAAACCAGTTTTAGTTATATGTTTTGTCTTACCTTTCTCTTTTCCTTTCCCTTTCTGTATATATTTTATAAAATTTTCTAACTAATGAGATCTAATGAAGTATCTTGCTTAAAGGTTTTTTTTTTCTTCTTATTGTTATGGAGGGAGGTGTTAGTGGCATAGACATATACACTCAACATGATTTTTGGCTAGGCTACTTCT